TGTGAACCGGGTTTTGGCATAGAACCGAATCACCGGTTTTTAGCTGGTTTTACCGGTTTAATTCCAATCTGAGTTTTGACTCAACCCGGACCTAGCTAAGTAGCCGATTCTCGGTTGGACTAACCGGTCCGGTTTTTAAAACACTGTTTATCACCTACCATTCTTATCTTTACATGACAACGTTCCGAAAAGCTAGTAAGAGATTCAAGATGATGCCATGAATATACAAGGTACATCAAATAATGTGTCAGGTTAGACGTCGGAATATATATATTTTTTTTTTTGCTAAATTGTAAGATTACAAAGTGAATCATAATCCTATAAAGATGATTACACGACAAAAATAAAATAAAACATGGAATCATATTACATGAACGGCTTTCAGTCCGCCTACTCAACATAACCATGATGAAAATGGAGTTATGACGAAGTGACGATGCTATTTTTTCTTCTTAATTCCATTAGGTGTGTTGATAATGCGAGACTAATCGAGAGCCGAGAAAGCAAAAACCAATGCTATAGAAGTCGTTCAAAGGTGGCCCAAGAAAGTATCGTCAGCGGCAACGTCTTCTAATCTTTCGATCATGTACTCCTCTCGCGTCCCGTAAGAGCGGATGAAAGAATCATGAGCTTAACACAATCAAAAAACCTCACAAACCACTCAAGGGAACGGTGCAAGCTCACCCAATCACTTGCTCCTGAAGATGGTGTACAGAGCCGGATAAAACAGTAGCCACTACACCGATCCCAATGGTCATACTAGCTCCTCTAAAGCCCCGATAAAGAAACCCAATTCCAAACTAACTAGCAACACACCAACAGCAACGTAACATAAGGAGCAAGACACAAATAAACACCAGGTCCAAACACTATCATCAAGACTAGGATTAAATGACACAAACACAAGAGAAAGAACGCAGCCACCACCGGTAGCTAAACCAACTCAAGATTGCAACACCTAAAGAACTAGAGAGCAAGCGAGGGGAACAACTTCAACAAAAACTCACACTCGATAAGCCACCGTGAACACATACGCAAGAGAGCCTAACTCTGTCTAAGCAGATTCACCAAGCGAAAGTATAACACTAACCGAGCCAATTGTCAAAATTGCGACCCAGACNCAACTAACCAGAAAACATTGCCCTGAAACTAGTCCAAGAGGAAAAGGTAAAGGGATATACCAATCCGATCTCCTCCACTAGAGATCCCAAAATACCAAGCCCAAGAGAACTACCTTTCACTTACGGTGACGACAGAGGGGATACACTTCCGGATAAACTACCGACCACAACGGACGTTCTGACGGAGAGAGGACCCAATTCACCGGAGAAGGAATGGTGCGGCAGATCTTCTAAAGAACACCTAGAAGATGTCAAAACCGTTTAGCAACGGAGCGGAAGAAGAACGACAACCAGACGTCGCTCCAGTGCCGATTTGTGCTTCACCGTCGTCGCGGGAATCGCTTGGCAAGAGAAGGATCTGCAAGCAGATGCACGCCGTGACGGATCGAAACCCATCGTCGAATTGGCTTGAGACAAGGGAAGGGTTTTAGCTAATCTCCACTGAAGCCCACCACCATCGACAAGTAGAAGCCAAGGCAGAGATAACCCAACACATAGACGCGGTCGTCAAGCAAGGCGTTTCTCCGACCACTCACCGCAAAGTAGCCGAGCAACCTAGAAAAATCCGAGAGCAAATGGTACCAAAAGTGTAATAGAACAGGGTGGGAAAGAGAGCCCTCTCTCGGCACCGGACAAGCCGGTCACCGGAGAAGCGTGCCGAAGATCGGAGGAGGAGAAAAGGTCGGTGAAGTTTTGAGAGAAAAATTGGTCGCGTGAAATTCACGCGCACGATTTTCTTTTCGTACTGATGTCGAAATATCATTTGAAATCATTTTGTCTACTTCAGTCGTTCCATGGAGAAGAAACTAAGTGTTTCATCTATCACATGCGCAAGGTATATAACATTAGTTGTTTAATCAAAGATCACAATTTGAATATGTAGAATAATACATTTGCATTCACGCTATTGAAAATGGAAGACCATACTTGGAATTATGATACAAAAACATGGTTGTGTGTTCAATTACATGTCAAATTTATCTCTGACGTCTAACCACTCAACCTCTCACTTGATTTGTCATTAATGGTGTATCCTATTAAGGTATTAGGACCACTGTAGATCAGCTATCATCTTTGTCTTTACATATGAGTTGTCCGAAAATTATTCTTGAAGTTCAGAATGATGTCATCATCGAATAAGCCCAACACTGAATAATGTAGTGTGTCACACGCCGGGATGTCCCTTCGAATTACCTAGAAATCAACTACCATAGTTGAAACTTTTTATAACGCAATTGGTGAAGATCTCGGATAAACCAAGCTTTAAATTTGAGTTCACGAGCTGAACAAGAAATGGAACTCGACATCCTGGTTTTGCCGATGAACCCATACAAGGATTGGGTTATCCAAGTTTGCATAGACGAGAGGGAAACAAGATAGAAGAGTTCAAGATGGCTTAAATAGTTTGTTTTTTTTAAAACATGTTAAGACTATATTACCGATTTTTAATTTGTGAAAGAAGTTACAGAGACAACTTAGAAAGCAGAAATACCAAAATCTACTGACAAAAGCAAAGATACAACGAAAACAAGAAACATTTAAGAGTTAAAATAGTTTGGCACACACATAAGCTCACTGAGAAGATCTCCGACGAAGAAATACCGATTCCAAACAGCTAAGTTTAAATAGTTTGTTGGGACTGCAGAGACAATTATAGTACCAATGATAACCACAACATAGTTTTGAATATTTTCTTAAATAATTATTTATTTTTTTCTTTTGAGCAAGAAAAAAATTATTTAATTAATATCAAATATGGAGACGATCGTCTCAAATGAATACGATCATTGATAAATTTGTAAATCATATTCTTAAGTACTAATTGTTAAGTACATGATAAAACTTGCTTAAAAACAAAAAAAATTGTACATCATTTTCTTAAGTTTTTAATGCAGGACACAAAATAGTGTAAACTTTTTAATTTAAAATATATAAATCATATAAAATAAATAAACACTTTTTCCCAAAAAAAAAAAGAAGTAAATAAACACTATATTTAAAAAATATTTTTTTCAAAACAAAACATGCGTATTCATCTAGTCATACTAAAAAGGTGTTTTTCGTTACAAATGAATAGAATTTCTTAAAATAGCAAATAGTGTTTCAATGAAAAATATGAATGGTAGTCTATAGTATATGAAATAGTATAGACTGACATAAATAATTTCTATTTTTTCTATAAATTCAGTAAAACAAAAAATATTTCACTTTCCCATATCTCTATATATTTTTTTTTACAAGAAAGAATTTGCTACTTAACGCCGAGAAATGAAAACATTACAAGTCCGTAATGGACTAGTGTTGTTATGTTAAGCCCAATAAGCCCAAAGGGCAATACTAATTGAACACCAAAAAGAAACTCAATATTGAACCAAGTAGCTCATTGTTGCCGTAGCCATCGTTGCATCATAGACTAGCCAAGTGAAAGGTTCGATTCGCGCAAGCTAGAGATCCGATTCCGAATCGTAAGATCAATTGTCCAGATGATAGAGTCACTTGATCGAAAGTTTTGCCGGTGAAGTCTCAGCTTGCACAAAAAAATTATGTCATGGTTTTGGTCTCACGGGACTGCGCTAAAAAACGTCACTCTGCGTTACACATGTCACTTGTTCTGCAAGAAAGCCAAGATACGAGTGTGTTTGTCATGCTAGCATTTTTGTAATAACTTATTTCATGGTATTCAATTACGTAAAATACTTGTTTGATTAGAGTTTAGTTATTTGATATATAGGTCCGATGAAATCAATTAGTTCTGCACAATTTATTTACTCCCATGTAAAATCTAATGCTGAATTTTTTTTGGTTAAATTAAGGACATTGCATGTAGTGAAAAAGTTAGATGGTGGGGTTAGGTGAGCAAAAGTAATGTAAATTTCATATATACTATATATAAACTCCGGTTTAGCATATATAATTTTAAGCTGTAACAATAATTATGGCAAGAAATAACATGTTAAATTTACAAAATTAGATAGTTATGAAATTGCATGACCAAGGCTGTAAGCAAAATGTTTTGATTATTAAGTTTTGTTGGTTGATGAAGAAAATGGAACCATATTCCACTTGTTGGCTTACCTCTTCATGATCGTGGTGTCTTCGTTTCACTTTCAGTCTCCGATTGGAATATTGATAATGGTTCCACATATACACATGACTCGTCGTCATTACTCAATGAGCAAAAAGCTAGAGCAAAAGTGGAAAGAATAAGAAATGTTGAAACTCTGTGTTCTATTTATGCTTATACTGTCACTTTTTTCTGAATGAGTGAATGGTTCACGACTCCTCATTACTGAATCGAGGAGAATATTCGTAGGGAATGATGGTGACGCCTAACAACAAAAGCTAAACCAAATGCGTCTCTCGTAAGCGCGTTGCAGAAGAAGACATGGATATTATAAAGAGAGAGAGAGGGTCACAAGATGAAGAATCACACACAACTTAAAGAAGATCAAGATCATATACAATTCTACAAGAGAGAAGAAGAATGGGGATTGTCGGATTCCAGTGGGGAGCAAACCAACTAACTCTGCTCCAGAACAGAGATAATTGGGAAACAAGGCAAGTTTTATTATACAAATTTATTTATAACTTTGTTCATCAATATGCATTGCATTGTTGGTTGATGTCTAAATGCGTGATTCAAAGGGTAATCAAAGCGGCGGCTTGGAACGAAGGTGAAAATATATTGAGAGGTCGTTGTGAAGAGAGCGATGGGACATGGTTTTGTGTTTCAAAAAGAGGCCGAGTTGCTTTTCTTGTGGATTCAGCGTTAATGGTCAACATGTTTGATGAAAACGGACGAGGCCCCGAATCGACTCCTGTCGAGTTCTTTCTGGTAATGATTATTGTTTTTTTTTTCATTTAAACTTGTATTTGGATCTTTTTGATTGATCACGAGATTGCTTGCTTTGTTTATGTTATAGAGCGGTTTGAGTCCAGAGATGTTTGCAGCAAAACTAGTAGCGGAAGAAAATGAATATCATTCGCAATTCGAGGACGAGGATGATGATGAGATGTCAGGGCGAGCCTATGAACTCATTGTGGCAGACATCACTTCAGGTTCAATGGTTTATATCTCCAAGCCCTCCTCTGTTGAATCAGTTGTCCATACACAACAAGTTGCTTTTGGTGTGCACACCCTTTCTCTTGAAGGACTCGATTCTGGTTCTCCCAAGGTGATTGATTTATTCGAATTCTTACGCGATATTTTCCATTTACAACTCTTTTCAGAAATGTATGTTTCCTTCCTTAGACCAAACCCTTTTTCTTTTATGCAGGATCAACGTCTCAGAGGCCTTTTCAATGAGATGATTGGTCAGAATGGAAACCAAGAGCTACCACCAATGAATGAGCTTGCTGCAAGGTTGTATGATCCAACCGAAGCTGTCCCAGGAGACGAATTGACCGCCTTGTTTGTCGACAAGATTGCTAATCTAGCAAGTTCAGAAGTAATTAAGCTAAACTTTGAACTACCTACCGTTTTTCTTTTTTCTCGATCCGGCCTCACCCGCATTAATCTCTTCCTTTTCATTTGTTTTCTTTGGTTCAGCTCGATCACGAGCGCTGTGGAACGACAAGCACAACAGCATTCTCCGTGAATCACACAAATAAAGCAAAGTTCTATGAGAGGTATTTGGAGAATGGCAATTGGTATGAAAGCAACTTCGCTTTCAACATCGCCTAGCCCGTTACAATCAACATCGATCGTGCAGTGCAGCATCCATATCCAAATATCTATAATTAACTAAAATAATCTTCTTGATGCTGTCTGTAATTAGATCCTTAATTATTTAACTTTGTCAGGGAAGCCTATTTCCTTGGTCACACTACTAAGTCCATATCTACTCTTTAAGAAATATTGATATGATCATCAATGTTTATAAATAAAACCGTTGCTTTTCTCAATATTTCCTGTGTCCAAACTTTTCTTTTATATCTTCCATCTATTCAATTAAATTCGATTGAATGGGTTTGGAGTTAGCTGTTTTTTTTTTTTGCATATATATATAGTTTCTCTTTCGATCACTTTGCTTTTTGGTCAAACTCAATCATACTTTTGAAATCTTAAAAACTCAATTAATTAACTGGAAATAACTAAGCCAAAAATGCTAGTTTGATAATTTTTATGGATCCGTATGCAGATGTATTTCCTATTTACCTTTGCCTAATGCAATTTTTTCATACCACCGTATTAACAACAACTTTCGATTGATTTTTAGATGTATAGATTCTGAAAACACACTTGATCGATTTTTTTTAATTAGTGTAATGATGTCTTCTCCTAAGACGTACAAACTCTTTCACTGCTCAAATATGTTAGATTTTCTCCACCTTTTATCTTTGGTTTTTTTTTTCAACTTTTCCGAATTTTGTTATTTGTTTGTTTGTTCAGCTATAGTTGGCCATTTGTTTTGGTCACAAATCCATACCAAAATTTAATTACTATAAATTACATCATCCATTTCAATGTATTTCCCTATCATCTCCAATCAAACAAAAGTAACAAAGACTTCTCATATTTTGGCTAGATGCAAAAGCATCAAAAAGAAACATGCACTTGGATTATTATTTAAACTTGAAACACAGGAGGGCCCATTACGAGAACCGAAGAAAGGTTCACAAAAACAATGAAAATAAAGAAAATGAAGCATAACATCGATAGAGACCAGTCATTTTTTTTGCAGACATGACCTCCCCAAGTGCATGGGGTTCACAACATCTCAGAAGCTTCCACCACGAAGACGAAGAACCAAGTGAAGAGTCGACTCTTTCTGAATGTTGTAGTCAGCCAAAGTCCGACCATCCTCAAGCTGTTTCCCAGCGAAGATGAGTCTCTGTTGGTCCGGAGGGATCCTTCCTTGTCCTGAATCTTAGCCTTCACATTGTCAATTGTGTCCGAGCTCTCCACCTCCAAGGTAATAGTCTTTCCTGTCAAAGTCTTCACAAAGATTTGCATACCACCACGAAGCCGAAGCACAAGGTGAAGGGTTGATTCCTTCTGGATATTGTAATCAGCAAGTGTCCGACCATCCTCAAGCTGTTTCCCAGCAAAGATGAGTCTCTGCTGGTCTGGTGGGATCCCTTCCTTGTCCTGAATTTTAGCCTTCACATTGTCAATTGTGTCCGAGCTCTCCACCTCCAAGGTGATAGTCTTGCCTGTCAAAGTCTTCACAAAGATTAGCATACCACCTCTCAGACGGAGCACCAAGTGCAGAGTCGACTCCTTCTGGATGTTGTAGTCAGCAAGAGTCCTTCCGTCCTCTAGCTGCTTACCGGCGAAGATAAGCCTCTGCTGGTCCGGAGGAATCCTTCCTTGTCTTGGATCTTCGCCTTGACATTGTCAATGGTGTCTGAGCTCTCCACTTCGAGGGTGATAGTCTTCCCTGTCAGAGTCTTGACAAAGACTTGCATACCACCGCGAAGACGAAGGACAAGGTGGAGGGTCGACTCCTTCTGGATGTTGTAGTCAGCAAGAGTCCTTCCGTCTTCGAGCTGCTTACCGGCGAAGATAAGCCTCTGCTGATCCGGAGGAATCCCTTCCTTGTCCTGGATCTTTGCCTTGACNTTGTCAATAGTGTCGGAGCTTTCAACTTCGAGTGTGATGGTCTTGCCAGTCAGAGTCTTGACAAAGATCTGCATGCCACCTCTCAACNTGAGAACCAAGTGCAAGGTTGATTCTTTCTGGATGTTGTAATCGGCCAAGGTACGGCCATCTTCAAGCTGTTTACCGGCGAAGATAAGTCTCTGCTGGTCCGGAGGAATTCCTTCCTTGTCCTGGATCTTTGCCTTAACATTGTCGATGGTGTCAGAGCTCTCGACCTCGAGAGTAATGGTCTTGCCAGTGAGTGTTTTCACGAATATTTGCATCTGGAAACAAGAAAGCAACAAAGATAGACCAAAAATTCAGAGCTGTAATAAGAAATCAAAACAACACCAGAATCCGATTCAAAAACAGAGAAGAGAACGGATCTTAAAATACAAACAAAGATCCTTCAAATATAGATAGTACTCGAAAACCCTAATTTTCTTATGGAATCGCAGAATCAAACAAACAATTCAACACATTTAAGAACTACGAATACAGATCTCAGTAAAATCGCCGATGAGATACGAACTCACAATAATCAGATAACCACGACGCAGGATAAGCGAAACGAGCAAACGATCATTGAAATCGGAGATCGAAAAAACAAACGATAAAACGATTTAACTATTCCGAGGAAAAAACAGAATCGGGAATCGGAAAAACTGAATCGAAAGATCGGACGCAAAATCAAACAAAGGAAATCGAAGAAACATGTACCTTGAAAAAGAAAATCGAAAGAGAAATTTTGCAGAGGGAATTTAGGGATTTTTCTTTGAGAGAGAATGTTGTAACGAAGGGGTGAATCACGATAAGGTCTTTAAAGCTACCAATAAGCCGACTTTAATTAATTAGAAAAAAAGGAAAATAAAAAAATATCAATTTGGAAAATTATGGTACACACGACACGTGTCAGTGTTTAGAACCGTTCGTTTCACGAAGACCGACTCAACTAGAAACATCCTTCGGTGGATTTATTTCCTTTTCTTTTAACAATTCTTTCTTTCTATTTGTAATAATAAAATAATTTAAAAAGTATTAAAAACATTATGTTGACAAAAAAAAATATATCTTATATAATATTTTAAAATTTTTCTAAAGTTATGTCATGTGTTATCTATTCTTTTGACATTTGTTTTTTTTATTTATTTATTTAAAAGAAAAAAAAATTAAATATCTCTTAATAACCAATTAATTCCCACAAGTTACAATCCCGCAATTATCATTTTTTTATATCTATAAAAAATTATCATTCTAAATTAAATATAATATTGTGAACTTTTAACGGTTTAAAAAATAAATATTTTATTTATTAAACCCAGTAATGTACTATACAAAAAATATTAAAAATTTAGATAGGTAACTACGGTTTAAAACAAAAAGTCACAAAGAAATGTAGTAAAAAGAATCGTAACATCAACAAAAAAATGGTGTCAAAAAATTAATTAGTGATGGAACTGTTGCTCATCCTCTAATGCAATTAAAACAGTTTGTGTTGGATAAAGTAGTTTTTTTAACCAAGATTTTCTAAAGAAAACATTACTCCACCATATATGCTGAATCCAAAAAAACATAATAATTCACCAATAAATCGATGTGAAAGATAAAAATCATAGCAAAACGATAAAAAGAGTGTGACAAAAATACAATCAAACTAATATTTTTAAGTTTTTCTAAAAGACAAATTTCAAAAGAATAGATGACACAAGTTACAATCCCACAATTATCTTTTTTTTTTTGTTTTGATATCTACAAAAAATTATCATATTAAATTAAATGTGATATTGTGAATTTTTAACAGTTTAAAAAATAGATATTTTATTTATTAAACCCAGCAATGCACTATACAAAAATATTTAAAAATTTAGATAGGTAACTACGGTTTAAAACAAAAAGTCACAAAGAGCTTTAATAAAAAGAATTGTAACATAAAAAAAATGGTGTCAGAAAATTAGTTAGTGATGGAACTGTTGCTTATCCCCCCATGCAATTAAAATAGTTTGTGTTGGATAAAGTAGCGTTCATAACCAAGACTTTCGAAAAAAACTTTACTCCACCATATATGGTGAATCCATAAAAACATAATAATCGAATAATTCGATGTGAAAGATAAAATCATAGCAAAACGATAAAAAGAGTGAGACAAAAATACAATCAAACATCAACTATTCTCTCTTTACAAATTAAGGTTCTAACGAAACAAAACATAAAGATGCATTTCAACATCTCTGTTGAGATGATGCAGTTGTCTCGATACAAGCAAAACATATTACAACTTATTTCATCAATAGATTTTTTTTTCAAACGTATTTCATGTAAGGAAAAAAACGACCAATAATTTTTTAAGAGAACCGTAGTGAATATTGATAAAGACATAAAATTTGCGGATTTGTGCAAAAGAAGATATATTCCATATGCATACGCTCTAATTTTTATCAATGAACAATTTATTTCTTTTCACATATTACGTTGTATATGTCCAACAATTTGCTAAAATTGCTTAGTCTTTTAAGCTAGTTAATTATTTACTATAACATTGATTTTTGTGTAATATTAAAGAAAAATTTACCTAGAATAACTTTACATTTTTTTTATTGCTGAAATAACCTATTCTGGATTTTTTTTCTTTCATAATACCAAAATTGTCCTTGGCAAACTCTGCCGAGGACAATTTTGGTATTATGAAAGAAAAAAATATAGAATAAGTTATTTCAGCAATGAAAAATAGTAAAGTTATTC